ATTTATTTATTTATGAGTGCTAAAAAAAATCAGTTTTATTGTAGTAACATCAGGCCGCCAGCAGAGGGCGAACACAGCACACAGTTGGAGGACTACCCCTTCTTCCAAAACAAACACAATCCATTCATTGGTTGTAGGAGCATCCAAGTATTTTACGTTTTACTCAATAACAGGGGAACAAAAGATTTAAGCTAATTGTGTGCACGCGTTATTGATCTAATATAAACTTATCACAATAATGGGAGGAGAAGCCGAAAAGCTTTGTGATGAATTCAAGCCGACAGTAAGAACATAACCTTCACTTCTGTCCCCATGGAAACTTGCTTTGCTGGTCATTCTGTGGATATGGATGGTATAGAGCAGGAAACATTCAACCCCACACTGTGGTGTCTTTAAAACAAAATTATTATTTTTTTCTGGATTCATCACACTGGGATGAAATTTAAAAAAAAAAATGACCCTGATTATCTTTTTTTTTTTAAATATCAAACCAAAGTGAAGCCAGAGGATCTGTTTGAGACGTGATTACACACAAAGCAGTGGCGTGTGGCGTTGCTACACCTTTGTGTCTCTGTAATGAACTATAAAGTGATGCCCTCTAAAGATTTAGAGAGCACACTTTTTCTCTCTCTGTCTCTCCCCACGCCGTCTTCCCCCTAAACCCCCCTCCACCCTCTTCCTTTCTTTGCTATAGTCGCATAGCAACAGAGGAGCTGCTGGCTCCAGTTGTGTTGTGGTGGGAGCGTGCGGCGCAGTGGCTCAAGATTAAGCTGGTCTCCGCTTCAATTATGAATGGGCCTCCACAGCCGCACGACTCCAAAATGGCACCACTCAGGCTGATAAGACATCGAGGAACTCTTTGGTACACTTCACTCTTTTCGCCTCGCTCCCCGAAGAGGCGCCGGACTTTAATCAGAAGTATTGAACTTAACCGATTAGAGGGAGTAAATGAATAATTAACTGGCAGAGGAGGCACGGTTATGATAAGACCCCTTGTTGATGGGAATATGTGAGGTTAATGATTGGGGTCAAGCTTGAGAGCGAATTAAAGAGTTCTCCAGTCTCACAAAGGCGGCGCTGTACCAGGAAACTGGTGGGGGTGGGTTTTAGTGCGAGGAGCGTGCTGAAGTAGTGGGAAAGGGTGATATGCTTTCTCGTAATCCTTCACCGTATTTAACTTCAGACTCTGAGAGGAAATTGGTTAAATTGGGGGGAAAYACATCCAGGGTTTCTGTCACCTCACATGAACTACTCGTCCGAGTACAGCGGATAGAAAAAGTCTCCTGCACTTCTCTTTAAATGCTGGGATTTTGTGTTAGAAAAAATAAAATTGTGATTTTAAAAAAATGTTCCTTTTCCACCTTTTCCTGTGACRTCATATATCCTCTGGTAGATCGGCAGGCAAACCTGAGCCTGCCCAGGTTGATAAAACCTACAGGAGAAGTTCACCTGCTGACAAAAAGAGCAGCTGAAAGGAAAACAACTGTGACGTGTCATCTTCCTGTGCAATTCAACTGAAAAAAAGTAGCAGTGTTGGGAAGAAAAAATAAATGGAAACTAGAGAATTTGCATTTCCAGCGAAAAAGCAGCAATTTTTTTCTGAATAGCTAAGACAGCTGAACCTAGAAAAAAGGCTAAAAAGTAGCTGAAATAAGCACAAAGAAACAAAAGCATGTTTGCTGAATGAAGCAGTAAGAAGCTGACGTCACAAAAAGGTGAATTTAGCTGAAAAAAAGCACAAATTATCTAAAAAAGGTAGCTAAAACCTGAAAAAACCAGCTGAAGTAAGCAGAAAGTAATTGAAAGAAACACAAAAAACATACAAAGTAGCAGAAGAATAGCAGAAAGGTCAGAAAGTTGTCTAAAAAAGCATAAAAAAATGCTGCAATCAGCAAAATAGAAGCTAAACGAAGCTGAAATTAGTGCAAAAAAGTTGAAAAAAGCAAAACAAGAAGCTCTATTTTGAAGAGTTTTGAGGATGCTGAAGACAACTCCATTCATTTTCAAGGAGAAAAATGTGGCCGAAAAAGCTAAATATTTCAAAAAGTATAAATTACAGAAGTRCCAAAGGTCATAGCAGAAATGTCCTGAAGACGATGAATAATTTGATATATAAATTGCAAAAAGAAAAAAATAAAAATTTGTGAAATAAGATATGTGCTGTAAAACATACAGTGTGAATGCTTTATAAACATTCACACAATGTAATTGAAGCTATTTTGAAAACAACTTTTTGTGCAATCTCACGCAAAATCGCGAAAGTAGTGTGTGTTGGGAAGTTCATGTGAGGTGAGCAAAGGGTGTAAAAAAATCGACAGGTGCTTCAACAAAGTGTGCAGTTGGATTTTTGCATAAGTTTAATAT